CGGCGCCGGCCGCGGACGCGGAGGCGGACGCGCCGCAGTGCCGCGACGGCGCGACGCGCGACGGCCACTGGCGCCGCTTCGCCCGGGGCGACGTCGGCCCGGGCTACACGGGGTCGCCCTGGGACGCGCTCGTCGCGCGGTCCGTGCACAAAGCGGACAAGAAGATGGCGCCCTGGCGCTTCGCGCGGCCCGGCTGCGCCTACCACTACTTCGCGCCCGGCGACGCGCGGCGCGCGCTCGACGGCTCGCTGCTCCTCTTCGTCGGCGACAGCCTCCTGCGGGGCCTCTACGCGACGACCGTGCGCCTCCTCGGCGGCGCGGCGAGCGACGACAAGCTCAAGGCGCGCGAGGACGCGGCGCGCGGCAAGGGGGGCAAGCGCGCGTCGAACGACCCCGCGTCGAGGACGTCCTTCGACCTCGGCGGCGCGCGCCTCGCCTACGCGTCCATGTGGTCCGACGCGGAGCTCGGCGCCGTCAAGGCCGCCGTCGGCCGCGCCGCGGCCCGCGGCCAGCCCTTCGCGCGCGTCGTCGTCGTCGCCAACTGGGGCGCGGAGCACAGCGTCGCCGCGGCCTGCGACAGGGTCGAGGCCAAGTTCGCGCGCCAGGCGAACCGCGCGCGCGACGCCGTCGCGGCCGCGCTCCCCGGGGACGCGCCCCGGTCGCTGGTCGTCGCGACGCCGACGGCGATGCTCGCGCGGCGGAACCCGGGCATGACGACGGCGAAGGCCCGCGCGCTCGGGCGCGTGCTCGCGGCGCAGGCCGAGGCGACGCGCCGCGGCGGAGCCTTCGCGGCCGCGGACCTCCTCGACCTCTCGAACCTCACGAAGGCGCGCTTCGACGACGCGACGCTCGACGGCGTCCACTACGGCCAGACCGCCGCGACCATGGGCGCGACCGTGCTCCTGAACATGCTCGCCGCGCGGCCCTAGGGGGGACTTTGTGGCATACTCCGCGCGGGCGCTCGCCTCGCTCGCGTCAGTGTGGATGGATTCCAGCTCGCTGAGTATCACCACTTTGTGCCGCGGCGTAACTTACGCCGCGTAAGCCGGCGTTCACCTTAACGTACGCAATGTTATTGAAGGGGATACTACATGGATACTACAATAGTATGATGCACCCAACCGTGCCTCTATTTAATGTGGCGCGCGCATGCATCCCATGGGATGGAATGCAGTGAGCACTCCTGAATGATATGGCGCATCCTAGCTAATAAGCTGCGTGCCGCACCTATCGCGTGCGCCGCATGGGCGGCCGGCCGTCGAAGGTAGCGCCCGCGCTGCGATCCGAATTCCACGCGGCGTACGAATGCGAAGAAAGCTGGGAATATGACATCGGAGGCGGCAATTTTGCCCGGGTCTACAAGGGTGCGATGCGGCTCCCCGGCGGCGGCCTCGGCGCGAGCGTCGCGGTCAAGGTCACCCGGCCGGACCTGGAGCGCCAGCCGAAGCTCGCCGACGCGCTCCGCGCGCGGCCGGCGCGTCCCCCCCGCGCTCCGCGTGCCGAGGCGGGCGTCGCGCGCAGGCAACGAGGCCGAGATGCTCCGCGCCGTCGACCACCCGAAGATCGTGCGGTTGTACGGCTTCTACGAGGAGGCCGGCGCGTTCTACCTGGTCTCCGAGCTCCTGCGCGG